AAGCTGCAGGAGACACACACAGAGCCAGGTGCTGCCCTGCAGGTAACTTCCCACCCACAGGCCTGGGAACCACAGCCATCCAGGCACTGGAGCCAGCCCGGGTGGCAGGAATGGGGCTGCATTCCCAGCTCATAAAAGAGACTGTCTTTGGCTAATTAACTGCCCCCAGTCAACTCTTCCCGCCGAAGGAAATGAGCTTGCGTGAAACTACTGCCAGCCTAAGAGATGCTGCTGAACTCGAGGGATCAGGGAGCCTGAAGCGGCAGCACTGCCAGAGCAGCTCTGGGTTCCAAGCAGAGGGCAGCACGCCCAGGTGCTGCGCTAGGAAGCCACAGAGAGGGCTGCTTGCACCCATAACCCCCCTTTGCTGTCACCAGCAGCACGGAGGGGACAGCAGTCACAGCAACACAGGCACCAAAGTGAATTTAAGGGTCATCTAACACAGCAAGCACCTCTCAGTCACTCTGTGCTCTCTGCACCCTTCCAAGGCGCAGGAAGGGATTTTGGTAAACCAGGACACAAGTCACTGACACCACAACACACCCTGATCTTAAGCCATAAAACTCATTTTCGGTCACACGGCCACTGTACCTTCACCTTTATTTACCATTTTCTAAAGTACCCAAATCCCCCAGCGTCACAGAGCACATCCAGCTGCTTTGCCAAGGGGTTATGGACACATAAAGCAAGGTGCCTGCACAGAGCTGCCGTGACCCAGCCCACGGGGGATCCCAGCTCCTTGGGGAGTTCGCTGCATTGCAAAAGCACTTGTTTCATGATCATATCATGGGAGAATGTCTGAATTTACAGCCAGACATTGCCCGAGTTTTATCATCTCGGCAGCAAACTCCTCTGTTTCCCTGTCACATCACAGATCCCAGCAAGAGAATGTGAGCAATTCCCCAGGTGATTTTGCTAATCATCAACCCTCACAGGCTGCAAAGTCACCAGGAGAAAGGCCGCGTGCTCTGCAATACCTACCGCTGCAGCAGGGCTGGGGGCATCCTTTTCCATTCAAATTGGCAGTGGAATTAAAGCTTGTCCAGACACCACCCGGCTTTCCCTGTCACTCTGGATCTGCACTGTGAACGTCTTCCAGAGTGGATCAGCTATGTTGCAGTACAGCACACAAGCATCTCCAGAGACCCTCCTGCCCTGCCGGCACAGCATCCACCTTCTCCCCTGCCCCAGCATGTGCCAGGGGCCAAAGTTTCCCAACTGCTTACTTGCATGTTTTCAGCTGTGTGTGTTTCAATACAGAAATTATCCCTATGAGCCCCGATTAACACATGGCCTAAAAACGCCAGTCTGGAGTCACCGATACCCTAGTCATGCCACGCTGCACATCTGGGCTGCAGGAGAGGAACAGAGGAGAATGTTAACCAGAGGTTCAGCACAACAGTGACACGTGAACCTAAACAGCCTGGGATGTGACTGCTCCCCCTGAAATCCTGGACTTTTTAGGATGAAAACACACTGCAGTCCCAAGGCCATGTCGGCAGGCTCTGGAGGTTCAAGAGACTGCATCGGGCGAGATTACAACTTGCGGTGCTCCGAGGCATGACAGCTTTTGAGGATGTAGCATCTTCCAGACGTCGTTGTCCCAAAGAAAGGCCCTGTTACTCACCCTCTGCCCTAAGCAAGCAAGGAGCAACCATGGCTCATTTGGCTTAGAGCCAGCTGCAACATCGACATGATGCTTTCAAAAGCACAAGGAAAAGGATCCTGTTGACACAGCAGTTTCATGTGCTCATATCCCTATTCAAAAGGCTGGAAGAGTCACATGCACAGCACGGAGCGCTGTGACCCAGCCTGACAATGCTCCCACACCCATCCTGTTTCCTGGTTGAGCTCTCCTAGGTACACAAGCAGGCGTGAGCCAGAGCCAGAGGACAGTCCTGGATATTTCCACATCACCTCATCGATCAGCAGCACCTGGAGCTCCCTCTCCTTTGCTTGCTGGACAGCAGCCACTCTACAAGCGAGCCTTGCCCTCTGCAGGCACTTAGAGATCAGTCTGCCCCATAAGCCTGAGCAGAGCAAGAACCAATGGCTTCTTTTTCCCTTAGTTTATTGTTGGAGAAAAAAAAAAAAAGAGTCCTTTGAAGCTTAAACACATTTCCTAGAAGCTATACAAGCTGCTACAAGTGTAAAAACGGCACAGGACCCAATCCCTGCCTCCTTAAAGCCAGAGGTAACCCCCCAGCTCACCCAAGTGGGGACTGCAAATCTTCAGTGACCCAAGTGCTGCAGGGACTGCGGTGCCTCTGTAGCAGCTGTTCTTTCCAGCAGCCCTTATCTCCTACACTCCATTCCCAGGGACTCCAGCCCCGCGTTTGCTCACAACACTCCAGTAAAACCTGCGCATGCCCCAGCCCACGGCAAGTCCTTATCCACCCTCCATCAGGCTGTGCATGGGCAGGCTCTGTGGGCAGCAGCCTCGCATGGTCTGTCCCGAGCTATCCACCTGGATCCAAGCACAATTCCCCCAGCGTCAGCCATGGGAAACAGGAGCAGGGAAAAATAAATAAAATAAAATAAAATAAAAGCTCTGAAAACAGAGGTGAAAAATGCAAAGCAAGCACAACTAAACTGCCCTGCCACACATTTCGATATCAGCCTTGTGCGCACGCAGGGCTGTAAAACATGGTCAGCATCCAAAGAGCAATCTCACAAGCAGGGCTTTCCAAGGCTAAGGTATTGCTTCCCATATGCATTTTTTCCCCAGTTATTTAAGGCATGCAATAGCCCAAAGCTGGCTCTGCTGCGCTTCAGAGGGCCTCCTGAATACTGGATCGGCTACAGTTCACAGCATTTCAAAATATTTTTAAATAAACCAACGCTTTATCTCCCCAATCTGTGGGCTCCACAGTACAAGAGGGATGTGGAGCTGCTGGAGAGAGTCCAGCGCAGGGCCACAAGGATGATCAGGGGCCTGGAACATCTGCCCTATGAGGAGAGGCTGAGGGAGCTGGGCCTGTTCAGCCTGGAGAAGAGAAGGCTGAGAGGGGATCTAATCAGTGTCTATAAGTACCTCAAGGGAGGCAGTGAGGAGGATGGTGCTGGCCTCTTTTCAGTGGTGGCCACCGACAGAACTAGAGGTAATGGCCACAAACTGAAGCACCAAAAGTTCTGCATGAACTTAAGGAAAATTTTTTTAACAGTGAGGGTGACAGAGCACTGGAACAGGCTGCCCAGAGAGGTTGTGGAGTCTCCTTCTCTGGAGATCTTCAAAACCCGCTTGGATGCAGTCCTGTGCCACGTGCTCTAGGTGACCCTGCGTGTGCAGGGGGGTTGGACTAGATGACCTGTAGAGGTCCCTTCCAACCTTAAGCATTCTATGATTCTATGATTTTATCTGCCGGGGGAAGGCCACCTTGTGCAACCTAACAAACCTGGGTGGCTGTCCAGGGAAGCGGCTCCCACGCAGATGCTCACTGCAAGCCTCCAAGGCAGCAGAAAGAGGGGGAAACCCCTTAGCAGGGGCTGCTCCCTGCAGATGCCACAAAAGCAGAGTCCCCAGCAGGCAGCCCTTGGACACAGGCCAACTGCAGGGTATTTGCAAGCACCTTCCATGCTTGCCCGTCTCCTGCAGGCCAGGGCACCTCATCCCTGCGCCCTCCCCACTCCTCAGGCATTTAGGGACCAGGGTGTCCATCCCCCCCTCATGTCACCTGCACCTGGGGATCGCACACACTTGCAGCACATCACTTAGGGCCATGCTACACCCCCATACCGTGTCCCCTAGGGCCACCACACACCTCCACACCCTGTCCCTTGGGGCCCCTCATGCAAGTCACCTAAGGCACCCCCCATCCCCATACCCTGCCACCCAGGGCCACCATCCTCCATGCCAAGTCATTAGG